GTTGTTTTCAGCCTCTGCCGCCTCAATATATGAGTACATGAACACATAAACATAATCTCTAGAACTGCTCTGAGTCACTTCATGAGCATTTTACTTATTTTGAGAAAACTATCGTCATATCATATACAAAGAGACACCAATGTTTCAAAAAGACACCAATGTTTCAGGAGTTTAGTACACAGAATAGGACACATTATTAGATAGTAAATATTTTTTATTTAACTTTTTTTCCCCAAACCATTGTTAGATGCAATGTTTCCTGTAGTTATGCAAATATTTGGTTTCAAAAAAGTAAACTATTTCTTATGATTTTAAATCTGCATTGAACTTCAGATCAATCTCAAAGTAAAAGTAACCTTACCAACACTGCATGTCACCCTGTGTTTGTGGCTCTTTTTGAGGATGTAAGACATGAAGCCAACCTCTCAGCCAGGTAAGAAAACCCTGAGAGCACATAAATAATATTTCACATTACTAAGCAACTGTGTGCTCATACTAGCACCACTACACCCACATTTGATAAAGGAACACGAATGGAACTGCTGGGCAAGAACATATAACTGTTGCATATACTGTAAAAGTTGTAGGTGTTTAAATCCAGACAAATAAATGTTCACGGTGTGTACTGGATTCATATTAGAATATTTCGGATGCAGTCTTAAAAGGGCATTATACTAAGGGAGATTATGCATTAAGTTATAGTGTGGTTCTGATAAATATGACACATCTACTATGACTTTACAGGGCTTATAGGGCTTTTTTCCACTACCTTCTTTACAGATCCTGCTCATGTAAAGCGATATGACCAGTGACAGTTTTCTTATCCATGCATATTCTTAATGAGCCATTAAGTTAGCTGTTGCAATCAAAAAAAAAAATCTTATAAGTTTGCATATTCATTATATGTACACCTAAATTAGTACTGCGTACATAATATAACCTAATTCAAAAGTGTACAATTATGTTTTTAATAATTAAACAGAAAGATTAGCACTGTTAGAGAGCTAATTTTTGGGTTTAACTTACCTCTCATAATCAGTCATAGTAACATTGTCTTATCCAAATGGGTGCTCTAATGATCTATTGTACCCGAGACATCCTACAACACACCGCACATAATATTTTCTGTGATCGACTATTTTGACCTGGCCTATTCATCACGTATCGCATCGACGGTCGATTAATGTAGACTAGGGATTGTGCTAGTCGTTTAACCGGAGCTGAAACAAATCGAGGATGATATCTTTTTCTTAGCTATAAACTTGAAAAGTATTCCACAGGTTGTGGCCTTTGGCAGGTAACGTACATTTTATTTAAACATTTATCTGTAATATACATTGACAAAACGCGCCCATATTTGTTTATCTTAAGCTTTGGTAATGAGCTTAGCGTATGTTATTAGCTGCTTTAGCTCCAAACGAAAAATAATAACATTAAAATAGCAGCATTATATCAGGCTTATTATGTGCACTTCAAACTGTATATTGCCATCGAGGCGAGGTTACATAGATGAACAAAACTCCCCCCCCCCTTTTATCATATTTTTTATGATAATATTGTTTATCATATTGTACCTGTTTTTGGTTGCTTGTATAAAGGAAATTACTGGTCTGGAGCTTTAATTTAGGTTGAATTTAATTTAAAAACAGGCATAAAAGTTTAAATGTTCAATATCTGCCATAATATAAAAACAATAATCAAAACCTGTTACCAAATGTGTATATGGGTGCACTGCTAGAAAATAACATATAGTATATCTCATTTTATAAATCTGCTCTAATTTGGATGTTCTAACGTAGTCTAGAATGAATGAATAAATAAATAATTAAATAAATAAATTTGGATGTGTGGGTAACCCAGAATTTCTATCACTGCATGCCTGCAAATTACATAGTTATTTATTTATACCTAATTTATGTTTCATGATCAAACTTTCCATTTTGATCTATAGATTGAAGTCTAAAATGATTAAATTGTAAGTTTGAGTTTTAGTGTGAATGCAGTTTTTTCATTTAAAAAAATAGACAAAACAACAAAACTAATTATCAGAATTTGTGCAATAATGCATCCCTTAAAAATATTTTTTTGTCTTATGTTTTAACATTCAGCAGAGAAACGGTATGCATACCATACTTATTTATTTTTATGTGTAAAAAAAAAAGTATCCTTAATGTGCTAAATGCTCTTAGATCAATTCAGATCAGTTTATAAAAAACAACAACAATCTACACTATAGATTAAAAAGTGATAGCATATATTTTTTTTTCTATTTTCCTTTTATGTCTAAAAAAATACATCTAAAAATAAACATCTGGGTGGAGAAGGAGAGACTGTGTTACTCAGTCTTAATTTACAGCTGTCAGATCTTAAATTAGAATAGAGAAATGAGAGGGGAGAGCCATACTTTTTATCCACTATAGTGGATGGATTTGCAGGTAGTCTGTTCTTAAAAGATAGACTTACAAAGACTAGATACAATTATTTATTATCAAGTCAACCAATAAATGCCACTATTTGGTGGATTTTTTAAAAAACAATGTTGTACTGCTGTGCCTTCAACAGGAAACAATAGTTATCAATAGGTAACGAACCTTGTTTGATATATTGTTTAATAAGTAAACATTTTTATGTAACAGCCAGTTTTTCACAAGTGAGAAATATGCAGTATTTTATGTTAACACACAAAATACTGTTAGACATCACCATGAAACAAACATGAAAATGTGTGACTATTTAGATCAGGGGTGCCCAAACTCGGTCCTGGAGGGCCGGTGTCCTGCAGAGTTTAGATCCAGCTTGCCTCAACACACCTGCCTGGAAGTTTCTAGTATGCCTAGTAAGACCTTGATTGGCTGCTTCAGGTGAGTTTGATTAGGGTTGGAGCTAAACTCTGCAGGACACTGGCCCTCCAGGACCGAGTTTGGGCACCCCTGATTTAGATGTTCATCAAATCACTTGCATTGATAGTGTTCCTTTGGAAGTTGACTGAGACCTATTGTAGGCCTTCATCCACTTATTTGGTGAATGCACTTACTGAGCAGTCGCGCCAGAGTACATTTTAATCTAACCAAACCTGCCAAGTGTAAACAAACCCAGTTAATCTCTAAAAAGACCTGAACATTTGCCAAATTTATACTGGGTGAATTAGACAAGATGTCTAGATGTATGTGTCCGGGAAACTCTGAAATCTGCAAAAGCAAGTTTGGCAGGATCAGAGGATTTAAACATTTGTTTTTATCTCAGATATCTAGTTTTCATAAAGCACAAATAGACTTTTGCTGTGCGTTGTTGCTGTGGTTTATATTTTTGTAGCGCCTTTCTAAAAGTCAAGGCTGCTTTACAAAGTTATAAAAAATTGACAGATAGCAAACAAAGTACAATTCACAGACTAAAATCTCTAAGAGAGCAAATTAAGTTCACTGTGCTTAATTGGTGTTTACCAGGTTTCTGTGAGCAACATCAACAGAGATAAGGTCCCGGAGAAAAGTTCTTTTACCAGTTAATAAACGAATGTTTGTAGCGCAAAATAGCCATTGCTAATGGTTGGATGAATAGCCATTAGCCATTGTTAATATAACACTAGCAAAATAGCCTTTGTTGATGTAATCGGTTAAAAGTCATCTTTAATGTTATGTTTTTTCAGGATGTCAGGATGGCAAGTGGCCCTGGCTTGCCGGACAGCCTGGTGCTGGAAATCTTCTTGCATCTCCCTCATAAGGCAGTGCTGAGCGCAGGGTTCACCTGTCGTCAGTGGTTTGCTGTGTCGCGGGATGAATTCCTCTGGAAGGAGCTCTTCTACAACTACTACTGCATCCCACGCTTGGTGCCTCGCCACCCTGGTACTGCAGCTGGAGCTGAACTTTTATATAAACTGCATCATAGGCAATGAATTCATGTGTAAAATAAATAAGCACACACCTTCACATCTGTGGCCAAAAGTGTTTATTTTGCGAAAACAAAGTGGAATACATGTGGCCTTTTACTACTAATCCACTAAGTAGTAAAAGACATGTGACGGTGCTTAAATTTTGCCACTTTCTTACCCTCTTCATGTATGAGTGCCGCACTGTGGCAGCACTACCTGCACCTTTTGAAAGTAACTGCTTTTCCTGCGTGTGTGCAGCGGCTGAGTCGTGGTACAGGGAGTTCAAGCGGCTGTATGACTGCATTCCCTGTGTGGAGGTTCAGACTCTGAAGGAGCATCATGATCAGGTCCTGCATTTGGCTTTCTCTCACCGTGGACATCGCTTCTCTTCCTGCTCCAAAGACTGTACCGTTAAGGTAAGACTGCCTACTGTTCGCTTCATAAAGATGAAAACAAGATTAAATTTTCTGCATATGCCAGTAATAATAACATGCAATCTCTATGGTTATATGCAAAAAAAAAAAAGAACATCTGGATAGTTGGCATGTCACAGTACTGCATAACACGGATGTTGTTCCACAAAATCTTTTATAATCCTAATAATTATTCAACCTAATTTGACATCATATTAATAAATTGATTAATTAAATGTTCCTAGCACAAATGAGGACAGGTTATGCATTTAACAATTTTTCAAAGCAAATAATAGCAATTCTAACAAGGTCAGTGACATGACAATTAATTTTTTGTTCCAGATATATTACCAAAAAATGCTATTCATATATGACTTAACTTCTGATATTATAATGAAGAAAAACAATTCTTTGAAACAAAACCTTTTACATGTTGATAATCATAGAGAGAATCCAAGCAGACTGTCATGACGGTGTGTTGGGGTCAAAAATAACAGATAATTTGACATTTTTGTGTCAGGCAATGTTAGGCCCTGTCCACACGAACGCGGGTATTTTCAAAACCGCAGCTTTTTCTCATGCTCTTGAGAGTGCTTCATATTATGCGTTTGCGTTTTCATGTGGACAGAGATTTTTTTAAAAACAGAAGGATAAACTCTGTTTATAAAAATACCAGTGTACGTGTGGACATGGCCTTAGTTTAGGTTATGAAATGTTATGTGGTGCCACACCCAAAAAAAAGTAATGATATTTTAGTTATGATAATTCATAAGTTATGATATTTGTAGAAAATACATTTTACCTTGAAAAATATTTGTAAGATTTTGAAAATAATGGTTTTGATGTGCACATTCACGTTTCAGGTTGCAAGGAAATATATTTTACTTGACATTTTAAGTGTTATTAAACTTAAATATTTGTTAATTTTTTTTTTTTTATTAATGGTTTTTACAGCAAGATGAAACAAACATGAAACAAAAAAACATTTTACTTTACATTTGTCTTTAAGACTTTTTTATTTGCCTTTTCTAAAACCACAGTTCCCCATATGCATATAAAACATTTAAAGGAGACCTATTATGCCCCTTTTTACAATATGTAATATAAGTCTCAGGTGTCCCCAGAATGTGTCTGTGAAGTTTCAGATCAAAATACCCCACAGATCATTTATTATATCATTTTGAAAATGCCTATTTTGTAGGGCTGGGCGATATGGCCAAAAAATTATCACGGTAATTTTTCTTCATAACAGTCGATAACGATAATTATCACGATAAATGTCAAATTTTATTTCTTTCAAGTTTAAAGGCAGATTTTTTTCTCCAATGTGAAAGTTGCAAAAACCAGACGGTTAATTCAGGGTGGCCGCGGCGGGTCCTTAAAAAGTCTTACAATGTCTTAAATAAAGTTTTCCTAAAATAAGGCCTTAAAAAGTCTTAAAATGTCTTAAATTCAGATTCAGTAGGTCTTAAATATTTTTGGTCACATTACCACAAAAATTTCTCCAGTCTGACGGACCCAGTGAGTGTCCATCAAGAGTACCTTTTCCCCCCTGCTGTAGTTACCGCGTCATCAGAGAGAATTGCGGTTACAGAATACATTAATTCTTTACACTTTTCCAGTCATTTTTCCTTATCAAAATAAATACCTTAATAGAAAAAAAAAATGTCTTAATTCTGCATGTTCTAATAAGTAATATTGTTTCAAATCAAGAAACAGGTTTGTGTTGCCTGATAATATTAATAATCTAACATTTTTTTGTCTCTTAGAAATACACATTTGATAGTAGCTTGAGTTAGGATGCAGATGTAGATTTATGTTCATTATCAAAGTCAGTAATATCTATAAAAAATTGTAGCAATCTCATTTATATATGGTGAAATTTAATTATTCTGACTGTTTTAGTTTTTTTTTTTTAACCATTGGTCTTCCATAGTAGCATACACTTAGATCATGATAATCAATTAAAACCACAAATATAGCACCTCAATACCATGGTAAAAATATGGTAATATGGCTTCTAGGTATTTGTATGAAAAACAGTAGTCTAAATGCATTTATAAACGCATAAACGCTATAGCTTAATCACAAAAAGTACTGTAATTATATTCCATTACTCATCCTTCAATACATTTAATACATGACTGTCTACATTAATAAAAATATAATAAAATTCGACACGAATACCCACATTTCTGACACAATACCATGGTGCAGTTAGTGCTACAGTAAATCTATGGTAAATGATGGCGATTTGTAGATTAAAAAGCCTTCTGACTGTATCGTTGCTCACAGTGTTTCTCCTGTTTGTCAGCGCTGTATCATCTGGCTGTAAACAGAGTTATTTGTGTTCTTCGCTGAATTCAGGAGCTTCACACTAGATCTGATAGCGCTGTTAAGTGTTCGCGTGATCTAGAATCATCAGCGAGTAACTGCATGAAGCTCGCTCCGCGTCACCGTTTGAACTTTGAGCCGAGCGGATAAACTGTTCGAGTGGCGCGCTTCAAATGACTAGCGCTGTTTAGTTCCGCCTTTGCCGCATAAACATTATATCGAACATTTATCGAACTCTTGTTATCGTATATAGAGGAAATTTATAAAGCACGATAATTATCGTTATCGATTTATCGCCCAGCCCTACTATTTTGAGTGGAAGCAGAAACATGCTGTTTTCGTGCATGTCTCTTTAAATGCAAATGAGCTGTTGCTCCCCGCCCCTTTTTCCAGAATTGGGCTGCTCCTGTCAAATACACACAAGTTTATGTTAAAAACACACAAGTTACAAAAACAGTCTGTTATGCCTGTGAAGATAAACAGCTGGGAAAGAAATTGCATGTTTATTTTAGATCTGTGTGGCAACAGCATAATATACAATAAATAAATCAATAAATCCACTGCTCTCTTGTCTCCTCTGAGGCTGGGACTCTAAATAGTGTTCTGTACTCGTCAATGCAGCCAAAGACAGAACAGCAAGCATGCTTTGCTCGAACTTTCGCTGTGGCGTTAGAACTGGTACACCGTTGTTGCTTGCAAAAACAGAATGGCAGTGCCGTGGGTACAAACTTGCAGATTAAGGGGTGGTAATATTATAAGAAGATCCCGTTTCTATGTCACAGGTGGAGCAAAATTTGAGTGCCTCGTTTTTCACAAGCTTGCAGAAAAAGGCTTTCCAAAAAATGTACTGGGTTGTTCTTTTTCACATTTTTGGGTTGGTAGATACACTGGGGACCCAATTATACCACTTAAACATGGAAAAAGTCAAATTTTCACAATATGTCACCTTTAGACTAAGTTTGATGATAAATAAATATAAAAATATATGATGATATTATTTTGATGATAAATAAATATAAAAATAATGTTATTTGTTATTCACTGAATTCACTGAATAATAAAAATTCACACAATGTGCTTTTACAGGTTTGGGACACGGAACAATCAGATGGCACCATCTCTTTGGTTCACAGCTCCAGCATGCGGCAGTTTAACTGGGGCTACACTCAGTTCTCCCAGTTTAACGCCGATGACACACTGCTGCTGGTGTCAGGGGTATACCTGGGCCCACATCACTCCTCTTCTGGAGAGATTGCAGTCATCAGTTTGGGTAGAGACAGCTGTTACAAACACCAACTGCACACACCCACTGTAAATAGATTTCTGATTGATGTTGGTGTTTTGGATCCGTAGAGAACTACACTCTGCTGTCCCGTGTGAGAAATAAGCCATATGATGTGTTCGGCTGCTGGCTGAATGAGACTCACCTAATCTCTGGTAACCTGCACTGGATTGGCAACATGACCTCCTGCTCTGTGCTCTGGCTCAACAAAGCTTTCCAGGTCCAGATGTGTTCATTTCTCTAAGGTCTTAAAGTGATGTGCATAATGTAGTTGATGAATTGAAAAAAAATATTTACTACTGGCCATGAAATATGTTTTTCATTTCATTAAACAATGTTTTACCCAGTGATAAAACAATGTTTTCTGTTCATACCATAGACTTTGTCACAAAAAATATTTCATTTTGGTTAATTAATTATAAGAATCTGTAGCCAAATTAAATATGCCAATAACACACAAAAAAACTAGCTAAACATCTAATGGGTATGGATTTATGTAGCTATTAGATAATAACTACTCACTTGGTGTTACTCCTCTCCATGTTTAGGACATCGAGTCAGAAAATGTGAATGTGGTGAAGCGTCTGTTTAAGATCCAGAACATCAACGCCAGCACTATCCGCACAGTGATGGTGGCCCACTGCCGTCGACACGACTCTCCTGACCTCCTTCTGGACTATGAAGCTCAGTCAAAGGCACAAGCTCAAGCTCAGCGGACACAGCAGCACCAGCCTCTCTTCTTTGATCTGGGAAACACAGACAGTGAAGAGGAGGAGGATGAAGATGAGGGGGATGAGGAGCGAGGAGAAAAAAGAGTGTCAGCACATCCGCCCTCATTTAACCCGCCCAGGATTCAGCATGTTATACATGTAATAACCATAGGGGATCACTGCACCTACATTTTAAGCCACTCAAGATTTTTCTTTTATATATATATATATATATATATATATATATATATATCATTAGGAATTCCATTGTGTTTCCATTTTCAGTTGTAAAGACGTTTTTCCCATGATTACAAGATATAGAATACATTGATCTTCTGGGAAAATGGGAAATGTTTTGTTTAATTTGTTTTCCATTTTTGAAAATGTTCTTCCGCAACAAAAGCATTGGATTGGATATAGTGCAAGTTAAAATCATTAAGTATTGTGCATAGTAATTTTGGATGTGCATCAATCGATGACTGCAAATATTCAAATATTTATCAGTGAAAAAGATCATTTTATCAGCATTTATAAAACATGAAATCTGAATTGACATTTACATAAATGTTCCCTGAGCAGTTCATCTGTGCATGTTAATTGTGGAAACACTTTATAGTTTAGGGACCAATTCTCTCTATTAACTAGTTGCTTATTAGCATGCATATTGGTTGTTTATTAGTTCTTATAAATCACATATTAATGCCTCATTTTGCATGACCATATTTTAGATCCCTTAATCCTACCCCATATCTAAAGAACAACTACTTTACTAGTTACTACTACAAGTAACTATTAATAAGCAGCAAATTAGGAGTTTAATGAGGCAAAAGGTATAGTTAATAGTAAGAATTGATCCCCAAACTAAAGTGTGACCAAAATTGTTTTTAATAAAAATGTAATAACTTGCTCAACTTCTGAAACAACTGCCACAAATGCAGCTGAAATGAAATATACAGCAATCAATATTATAGCAACAGATTAAACACTACTTTCAATAAGCCATGTTTTAAAAACATCTCTTCAGCTGTTATTGTATGTTGTCAGTTATATGTGCAGTTTCTGTATTTGCTGCCATTAGGGTCGTCAGAGCATAGCTGCTCGTGAACGAGAGTTGGAGACAAAGGTGGCCAGGTTGATGGGCAGCAGACGCACCAAAGCTCCTGATCCAAACCTGGTGTCTCCCTCAGCTCCTGGAGAAGGAGAGGACAAGACCTACCTCCTCTTCACCACCGGCAGCCTTACCTACTCGCCTCACCAAATAGGTGAGCATGCGCTTATGTCTCTAATGGGACACTGTATGAATGATTACTTCACCTGCTAATTCCATAAATGCCCGGATTTCTGAATTGCTGTGTTTGTTTGTTTCAGGCATCAAGCGGATAATGCCTGATCAAATGACGACATGTGGTCCTGTGTTGGGAGAGGAGCGCAGTACGGATGAATTCTTCGACTCACTGGATCATGTGATTGACATACACGGCCACATCATTGGCATGGGTCTGTCACCTGACCATAGGTGTGTGTTGTTCAGCGGTAGAGGACTAACTTTGAACTAATGCAGTTTACTCAGCAAGTTCATACAGCCTTTCAAATTCTAAAAAGAGAATCACTTTGTGTACAATATTATCTGTGGTGCTGTGAGTGATTACCAGGATGTTGCTCTTGTGTTTCTATGGGGTGCAAAGTCACACAGTCTTCCTCCAGGGGGCGCAAGCAGGCTTAGAAAGCTTCATCTTTTCATCTTATTAAGGAGCAGTAAGTAATATTGACAGCTAGCCATTAAAATGGGTACTGCAGTCCAAATTCAACACATTGGAGAGTGTTGTTTCTCCCGCCCCCTCTTCCTCAGACTCAGCAGTGTTTCCTAAATACCTGGAAACATGTTACGGTATATTATTCTTAAGTAGAGTCAAAAAATGACATGCAGCACCTTTATAGATACTTATAAAGTGTAATCATTGCAGTCTATTCTTTTCCACTTAATCAGTCGCTACAATGTTTTAAATAAAATGCCTAAAAGGCCATGGAAATCATGGACAACAACTCCTGAAAACCCTGCTGAAATCAAAGTATTATCTTGGAAAATGGCAACCGTGTTTGTCTGTTCACAGGTACTTGTACGTAAACAGTCGAGCGTGGCCAGCAGGCTGTGTGATCTCTGACCCCATGTCCCCTCCACCCATCGCAGAGGAGATAGACCTGCATGTGATTGATCTGAAGAGTCTTAGAGAGGAACGCCGCAGCCTTCGAGCCCACCGGGCCTTCACACCCAACGATGAGTGCTTCTTTATCTTCCTTGACGTCAGCCGAGACTTTGTCGCCAGGTAATTTACAGCCCAGCCACCTGTGCACATTTTATTCGCAGTAGTGAACTGATTTTTTGGCCTGTTAAGTAGTGCTCCGAATAACAGACTTTTGGAATATAGTACATGCTATTAACCAGAGTAAAGATGCACTAAAAGTAATTTCTTCTTAAATCAATTCTTTCACTGGCTGATACAACACTGGTCTTGAACTTTATACTGACAAGCAAATGGCATGGGTGCAGCATCAGGAAAATGTTTTTGAAAAGCAGGCTTTTTTATGTTGTGGGAATCCCATTGAGTGGATTAAATTTGTCAAAGCATTTGAGTGCTTAATAACAGGAATGTTTGCATGACTAATTAAGCTTTTAAGGTCATTGTAAGCTTGTAATTACATTCAGGTTTTGACATGATGAATGCATATATAAAAGGGATTATCTTTTTTTTTTTCAGTCATATCAACAGTGCTAGATGTGGTAGTGAGAGGTACCAGTAAAATATGGCTCCATAGTGTTATTTAAGCCAATAGAAATGACTAGACGAGCTGAAATTCTGCACCAGAATATGAGCAAGAACGTATAAACTCAGGACAACACAATAATACAGCTAGGTGATATGTCTGATATTTTTCAGACCTTTTGATGATATATGTATCTCTATTTAGGCATTGGCTTTGAAATGGCTTTAAAGAGTAGTATTTTTATTTTCGTCCTTTTTCATTTTGCAAGAAGAGAATTTTTGGTGTAAACGATTCTCAAAAACATTTTAATTTACTTCATATAAGTAGGATAATCATTTTAAAATCTATTTAAGGCTGGAATACACTGCATGACAGATTTCACAGAACATTGTGTGGCGTATGTAGAAATCATTGTTTAGTTGCAGCAGATGCCAATCAAACAATAAGCCAGACACTAGGGCATTGCAGTATGTTTATCTTTTTACTCTGCCTTCTACTCCAGTCTCTCACATTTACATACATTCGCATACCGCCATCTAGTGGCTATACATATTCAATTCCTATCACAACATCCACCTGTTTTTCTTGTAAACAATTTCTCTACCACTATTCATAAAGCATCAAACCATCAATCATACATATGATACAAATCTCTTTTTTTTTTTTCACATTTTCTTAGTTTTTTTTTTTTCACAATTATTTTCTTTCTTTCGAACTGGCCAATAAGGCATAAGATGTTCAGAAACCGTTCTCTGATGCAATGGCCAACCTTTTTCTGTAAAGATTCGTATCTGTTTACAGGTTGCATCTAGGGCTTGTTCATATTCAATTCCTATCACAACAGCGTATGACTGGCACAGACTGATTTTTTTTTTTTTTTGGCTTAAAATTATAATTCCATCAAGCCAGAGGGTGTCAAACATGTTTTAATTTGTCTCTCGTCTTTAAGAATATTTGTCAAATATTTGACACTAAATAACTGTTCATTGAACTTATTAATTGAAATGGATTAATTTAACTGATCCACAGAAATGAATTTGAACTTCCCAATTTTGTCCACGTTTTTGTCACAGATGCTATCCAAATATCTCTCTCATACTTACGAGTTGTCATGCATTTTAAAATCATGGCAGCATTCACAATATTGATTATTTTTATATCCTGAACAAAATAATATTGGGTCAAATGTAAATTGCCCTGCCTCACACAGACTAATACTACTAAATAATTTTTTGTACTCATCTGAACCATCATTAAATGCTTGACCAACAAAATATCAAAACTATTGAGTCATAATAACTGCCCAAGAAGTGTTAATTGTCTAATTTATGTAATTGTCTGTGTAGCGGTGCAGAGGACAAGCACGGTTACATCTGGGACCGGCACTACAACATCTGCCTGGCTCGCCTGAAACACGATGACGTGGTCAACTCTGTGGCCTTCAGCCCAGCAGACCAGGAACTGCTGCTGTCTGCCAGCGACGACTCCACCATTAAAGTGTGGCGCTCGCCACGCATGGTGCGCCTCGCCGAGGCACCCCAGCACCCCCCTCGGGCTCGCAAACTGCTCTCCTCCTTGCTTGGCCGCAGAAGTGCTAATCTGAATGGTAAACCCTGACCTGGACCCTGGCGGGCGTAATGCAAGAGGAAAACGCCACAGAAGGACACTCCATGAGCAGAGGGACACGTGAGGTCAAGAAACTGAGGATTCCACAGTGGTCTCTATGAGAAGAACAAGGATACGTGCATTCTTGTGTGGCCCTTTTGCAGGATGTGCCGTGACCAACAGATAACCGGAAGATGAGAAGCAACAAAAGAAAATGGGCTCTTTGGAACTCTATACTGGTGAAAGATCGCTGATGCACATGAAAACGTAGGAGACGGACATTAAGAGGACGTGTGACTTCAAGAGCAAAGAACCAAGGATATTAAGGTCGCATTCATATATACGTGTGTAATTTGAAAGCCCATTTAACCCTGTCATAATGAATGAAGCACATCTGCACGTTTGTAATTTAAGTATTTTGTTGGCACCTTTTTTAGTAGATGTTATACAAGCAACCTGATGATCAGAACAAGGACATGGTCAAAGTATTTAAATCCTAACAGAGAAAAAGCTACGTTCTGCTACAATTTTACAACACAATTGTGTCACTGGTGTTTCATCTCTGTTCCGGTGTTATGTAGAGAAGTTTGATTTAACTTCATTACAGAATGACAATGCAGATGTTTACTCCTGAGCTACCCCATATAGCCTTTATTGAAATCAGTTGTCCATATGGATTGTGTCATGCAGGTTTTAACGATCATACTATATTGAAAATGTAAAAATTCCAAAGGAATTCAAAGCCTTCTTGTTGAACTTTTAGTTTATAAAATCATTTGGTTTTAATAATGCACCTCTGTTATGGTGGCGTATTTATTTTAGATTTATCTAGTATGACATGTTTCAAGAGAATTTGTTTAGGTTGGACCATTAAAAATACCAAAAAGCTGAAGAAAAATAGCTCAAACACCGACCATTACATGTTTATATAGGTGAGCTTTGTGATTTCATAGCACTGAGATACTACGCAGCATCATAAGCATGGTTACCTCACCTCCAGCACTTCACCTTTCTGTGTCATGAGCTCACATTGTTTACCAGCATTAAATATTCAGCAAAAGTGCTCATTTTTGTTATCTCAGATGTCATGAAAAAGTAACTAAAAAATGCTCCCCCATGCCTCACATACATGGTCTACATATGTGAAGCTCAGCTGTGATGTTACTCATATGTATGACTTTAATTTCATTTTGGTTCCTTAAGATTTTATGCACATCAAGTGATTTCAATTTGATCTCCTTGTAATAATGTAGTTTGGAGCATTTGTCTCTGTAGTTGTGAGAACATCAGTCGTTTTATTTTTAACAGACCCGATTCCCTGTGTGACATTTGTTTGAGCTTGTGCATCTGATTTTCCCATCTGCCCTTTGGCTATTTGACATCAGTAGATTTTGTACTGTGGAATGTGTAAAATTTGTTTGGCCCATTAAACAATTTCTCTTTTACCACCAGATGCAGTGTGAATTTCGTAGTGTTTCTATATCCCACGTTTGTATTTTTACTCAAGACTAGGACTGGATTAAATATTCATAACTCTTTAGAGAACACATCATAAGCTGTTTATTGATGTTACAAATGGATATACAGCATTTCAAACAAATCATACAGCATTGAATATATAAGAATTATTAGATACTGAACCCGATGCACTGCTCATATGACAGGAAAAGAAACAAGCAATTTTGCCACACATTGTATTATAGCTCTCTAGTACTGTAAATTCATGCTAATAAAATAAAGTGTAATTAATATCTAAACAAATACTAAAAATACTCACCACTTGAATGATCTGCTATATAATTGATAGATAGAATACAAATCAGTAAATGACAGCTAAATAGTAAAGAATTAAATTTTTAAAAGTGTAACATATTTATCAGATTTTTGATATTTTTTTCCTCTCTCGCTTTTCTCTTTTTCCTCTTTCCACCAAAACAACCATGTTTCTAATATTCCAAGTAACAAGTACTTGGAGTGTTATCTACCAACAGCAGGATTTATACTGCATCTAATTCACCCTTTGACTCAGAAAACATGCTAACCTAGTGTATAATGATGTTACAGAAAAAATGCCGGTACCTTTTATAAGGGTTTGAAGCGGATTAAACATCTACATCTCTTATACTATGAAGCCATTTAATGCTCAAGCCCAAACAAAAAGAGCCGGACCCAAGATCAGATGATGTTTACAAATGGGCCAGTAATACAGTGAATCTATGCACTGGGTAGTCAAGATGTATTTTCAGTCCTGCTAAGGTTTCTGACTTTTTCTAAGTGAGATTGAAAATATTGCAGCCTCATGCACATGCTGTATCCAAGAGCTTGTTTAAAAGAACAAACAACACAATGATTCATTTCTATAAGCTGAATGATTCACACAGCTTCTCGAATAGGTTTCACAGGTTCTCTATTATTAAGCTAGTGAAGTTAGTAAAATAAAAGCAGACTGGTGACTTACATGTAGCTATTTATATACTTACACTATACTTCCAGCAAAAGTGTTCAAGCCCCTAAACACGTGTTTAAAGATGCATTTAGCATCCTGATGACATCCCATATTTAACAGCATGAAAATAACTGCTACAAGTACAGTATATGCATAAAATAACCAAACCTTAATGTCAAGGAACATGTAAGTCATATTTCTGTATTGCATACAATACTAAAAGAAGGTATAGTTAAAATATTAAAATATAATGTGTACTAATGTGTATTATATAAATATGTATTATAATAAATATTGTGTTTTAAATATTGAGTTATATTGAGTGTGGAAGTCTGTTTGAGCACAGCCACTCCATACATGCACATAATATTGCTATAATTTAATTTATATTTCTCCAAATAATCAATATATAAATATAATGTTATTATCATTTATATTATTATTTATATTATATCATATTTAAATTGTTTGGCTTCCGCAGCTGAGATATAATAATAATAATAATAATAATAATAATAATATCATCAATTATTATTATTATGAGTAATTCCAATGCTTTATAAGCCGGTGAGGTCGACTATGGCTTTAATAAATATGGTGTCATCTCTCAGATATGAGCTTTTGCCTGCCAGCTTGGCTAGAGGGCAGAAGAGAGGACAACCACTGGCTATGTTCATCTCACTGATGGGTCTCTGGAAGGATGTGGAGCTCACGTCAGGTCTAAAAGCATCAATGATGTGCTCTCTGTTGTTCTGGTCCAACAACATCAATGTCACCTGGAAGGAAAGAACAGGAGAGTGCCAGGAATTACAATCCATGTGATGCCAAGCTCATGTTCTGAAAGCCTGTTTCACACTGGATTGCGTAAGCAGTAAGCAGAGTGGAGGCAGCACAGGAGCTGTTTGCATGCAGAGCAGGAGCAGCACGCCTTCACACTGACAGCTGAACTGCAGTGTACTGCAAATACAGAGGAGTATCTTCCATTGGGTTTTTCAGGTGTTCTCCTCTGACCACGTGCTTTTATTGATGGGCAGCATATTTTGCTGTGATGCGAACGTATTCCCTTCCTACTGTCCCGCACACATATGCATATAACATGCTGTGTACAGGTGCATCTCAATAAATTAGAATGTTGTGGAAAAGTTCATTCATTTCAGTAATTCAACTCAAATTGTGATACTCGTGTATTAAATAAATTCAATACACACAGACTGAAGTATTTACATGAGAAAAGTCATCTTTACGTTATAAAAGTTTTAATCCTTTAAAACAGGCCATTGAAGTTTGGTCAGAAACTCCTGCCAAAACAAAAGCTCATCATAAACAGCTTTTCTATGAGCTAAAGAGGGCAATACTTAAATATAGAAGGTGCACAGTGTCATTCACACTAACACTAAACCCTGTCATGGTGACACACGATACTGAAATAATGCAATAAACATTAATTTAACAACATTAGATGTAAGATTAAACCCTAATGTAC